TTGTTGCCTATTTTGCACCATATTACATTTCACTGAATATTACATGATACAATATGTCTGTAACTATGTTTGATGGCACTGTCTTCAACAGGACCGTTTATCAACCAGCATCTGATGTGGAAGATCCCCACAGGAGATCACCTTGCATGTGTCCTGGTACTTGTCGGGCAGGATCACGAGGGAAAGAACTTCAGTTCACTGACAAAGTCATAGTTTTTACTCTTCAAACAGAAATGTATTAACATTAAATTCTGTTCATACCTACCTCAAGGGTTTTTTCATTTTGTACAAGCTTCATTTTACTTCTGTGACCAGCACAAATTATTTTCAGTAAGTAGCCTAAAGTTTACAGTTTTGAACAGTAATGATAAGTAAGGCTACAGCTGTCCCCTATTATGTAAATATAAATAACTAAAAGTGGTATAGGAAATGTTATGGCAAAGTTTGAAATTGTTGTCATACTTGCATGAACATGTTCAAATATATATAATGAAAATAAAAGACCATGTACTTTTATTTTTTCATAAATACCATAGAACTATATCACAACTTATAATTAGAAAACATACCTAAAATGTAAATAAAGAGGGAGAAATATGATAAAAGTGAATAGAAATCTAATAATAAATAAAATGTAAACTACGTACATTTGTTTGATGCCTTGATGATGCTGAGGCAGGTTACTGTGTAGACCTGCGTAGTGTCCTTGAGGATGAGCGAACTTGTCCCTGATCCTCCAAACACAACACCTGGGGATGACAAGTGGGTTTCCCTGGCCCAAAGCTCCATCTTGCCAAAGATGAAGTGTCTAAAGGCACCATGGCGGTACTCCCTGATGTTGCCTAATGTGGTAATGTCCTCCCGGTACAGCCTGGGACAAATCACTGCTCACTAAATACTCACCATTTATTAGCGCCATTAAAATTCAAATTGGCAACACACAAATCCAGACTAAGCAAAGAAACAACAGCCAAACAAAATAAATTAAAGCTTGTTTCTTATTTCTTATAAATTATTAACTTAATAGTCTAACATTCATCAAGTCTCCACATCTCCTGGTTTGGGTTTTTTGCTGTCCTGAGTTGCCGACAGTTACCTTCATCGATTTCTCACTCATCCATACATTCCACTCAACACTGATGCCACTGATTATCACATTCCATGTTCTGTTAATAGTTATGTTGTTTATAGTTTCTTTAATAACAAAACGTATTTTTGGCACTTTAATCTGCTTGATGTCTGTGAAGGATCTCAGTCATCCAGGTCAGAGTTACTTGTTGAAGATACTGGAAGTCGTCATGGTCGTTAGAGCCACCTGAGGCCGAGACTGAACGACCATCGTTGGTATCTTCACCTGAGGCCAAGACTGAACGACCATCGTTGGTATCTTCACCTGAGGCCGAGACTGAACGACCATCGTTGGTATCTTCACCTGAGGCCAAAGGTCTAAAATGTGCACCTGGTGGTCCTCAAACGAGTGTCCTCTGTCCTTCAGATGTAAGTAGACTGCAGAGTCTTGACCTGAGGAGTTGGCCCTTCTGTGTTGAGCCATGTGTTTGTGTCGTGGTTGTTTAGTCTCCCCAATATACAGGTCTGTGCATTCCTCACTGCATTGGACCGCATACACTAGATTGCTTTTTGTGTGAATACCAGGAAATAAAGCTCCATCATTGTGCTGCTCACCTGTTACACTGAAGAGAAATGCAAATACTACCATCTGACTTTCCATTTAAAGAGAACCATCTCTGAGACAAAACAACTTGGAAAACATTTTAGGTACGTGGTATAAATTAAAAAGAATTATTATAGGACAGGATCCCCATCCCTGCTTGCACCTGTGGTAAACAACCCTCACTTCCCTCCCTCTTGCTTGGACACCAGATTTAAGAGATGGCGGGAACTGGGAGCTGAGGACAGTATGGTTTAGAACGCGCTTTGAGAGTGAAGAGTTACGTTCGGTCTGTTCCCAACTACAGAAGGAAGATTGAAATTGGCTTCCTTTTACAAATAGCTGGGCCCAATAAGTCTCTGTACACGAGGGAGAAGATAGGGGGAATAAGTAAAGTTGAATGGGATACAATTCTCTTAAATACAAAAAGAATATGTTGCTGTGTCATAAAGTTTAAGATAATTCTCAGGTTATAAGATCCATCCATAAGCTGAATGTGATACAATCTGTCCAAGCTGTAAAATTTGGTGAAGACATATTTTCATGCTTTTTGGGAATGCCCAAATATTGAAGAATTTTGGAATAATAAATAAAATTGATGATTTCCTCTCTCGCAAGTCAGCATTAAGCCAAAGTCTTTGTGTTGTAGTATTAGATGACGCAGCAAAGCCGGCTGCCCAGTATAAGGATATATTGAGAATTTGTTGGTACGCTGCCAGGTTGAGTATTCTTCAAAGGCGGGTTGGTGATGAAGCCCCTGAAGTTTCACTGTGGTTGGAAAAACTCCTGAACTTCATCCCACATAACCAAACTGATTGGACCTATTCCTTTATACCTGGCAGCCGTCTTAAATAGCACTGAAGGTGAAGCACAAATTAAACATCTATATAAATTAATATTTAGGCTTTGAAACCCCCAACACACCGAGATCCGGCTTCTACCCTCCAAAAGGTGCTGAACCGCCCCGGTCCTCATTTATTCCCACATGTATCAGGACTTCACTGAACACTGGTGCAGGTGGAACAGATAAACCTGTGGGTGTAGAGCGGAGATGTCTTTATGCTGCTGTTTCTATGTTTCAGGTTAGAAACTGTCACCCACTTTGTGTCCGTCTGGAGGCCTTTCTGTGGACCCGTCCCCCTTCATGGACGGACAGCTGTCCTCCTCAGTCTGAGGGAAGCAGGCACAGCATCAGAGGAAGGTTCATGATCAGTGAAAACTCTTCTTCCACTCTCTAAAGTCGGGCTGTGAAGCTGATCCAGGTGACTGTCAGCCAGCAGCTCATGCTGGATTAACTGTTACTCTTTATCTTTCTGTTGTTTGTCTGTTGTTCTGACAGTGAACTGATAATAATGTTGATGAACACTCACCTCTTTTCTTCTTTCTGCTCTCTGAGCTGACTGACTGAGCGCTTCCTCTTTTGTCCACTTCCTCCTGTCTTCTGACTCTGTGGCGCCCCCCTGTGGTGTCAGCTGAGATGTACCAGCAGTCCTTCCTGTTCAAACTGAACTCCCTCTGGAGGAACAAAGCTTTTCAAAAATGTTGTTTGTGTCTTCTTGTACCGGTTCTCCTGTCTGACACACCGAAAACGTGTTTCTCTAGAAGAACAACAGAACGTCGGTTCCTTTAATCAGAATAACATTAAAAGTTTGGACCCGCCGTGAAAGTAAAGATTCAAACTTTTTTAAAGCAGAAAACAGGCCCTGAGATGTGTCTGCAGGTCAGCGTCTCCGGGTTAAAAAAACCCGGAAGGAGCAACTGTTTCCAAACTACTATACAGAAGTAATTAGTGAATGTAAATCTATTGAACAGCTACTGCAGAAATAATTTGAGTTTAATTTCATGAAAATCAGGATTGTAACTATATAAACTCGTTTTATTGAAATTCAACACAATTTCCTGAAAAATATTGAAATGTTTAACTAACCCAACAAACACACACGTATACTTGTTATGACTCATTGACATTATAGGTTCCCTAGCACCAAATCCTAAACCTGGATCTAACCTGAACCTTAAAACCCACACTCCGTGCTCACTACGATACTTTGAATCTGGTCCTCCCAAAGATAGCAACACCAGCCCATACACACAGCAATAAAGAGCAGCCGTATTGTTTCTCAGATATTATATTTTCTGTAATCTGTTCACGTCTTTGTCCAATCAGAACGTCCCACCGGGCTGCAGCTCAGTTAGCCGCTGTGGTTAAATCTGCAGGATTTCAGGCGGAGTTCTGACCGCAGCTGCAGAGACACTCAGAAACCTCCGTGTGTCTCACAGACTGAAGATAAAAAGGTCTGTCTGCAGCAAGTTTCCTCTCAGAAACACCATCAAGTCAGGCAACACTAACCACGTGACTTCCGCTCACTGCTTTCACAATAAAACAAACCAGACGCCTGTTTAAAGGAGGCCTGTTCAGGTACAGACTTTAAACTAGATCAGTGTTCATATTAACTGAATTCCATTAGTTTCGCTTGTCTATCAGACAAAAATCCTGCTGGGAAATAATTACCATATATAAAATACAGGAAAGCTTATCTTCCTACAAACAAATTATTCCAGTGCTTTTGTCCTGTCCTCTCCTCCAGAATAAAGTCATCTGCAGATGTTTCTGTCAGCTCTCAGCTGAACACGGGTCCCCTTCAGGTCGTGGTTTTAAACTCAGTGGAAAGATGCTGAGTTTTAATTCTTAATAACCTTCTGATTCAATTGGCCCTTTCCTGACTTTGTTTTTTGTTGTAAATATACAACATCACATTTTACATTTATCCAGAGAGACTTACAATTGCTACTATGTGAAACCATAAAGATACTACGTGGAATCAAATCCCATTGAGACATATCACTAAAAAGTAGCAGTGATCTCCAAAGTTGTAACACATTATTTTCTTTCACACATTTGTCAAAAAATGATTCTGTTTTGTGACATTTGTTAAAAACAGAATCAGCATCTGTGTCTTGTAGTTCATGTTTGAGGAGATGATCCAGTGTAGTCCAAGTTTAGCTCCATCACATGTGATGCTTTCACAGTCACTTATTGAAAACACAGCACAACTCCAGATTCAAAGATTACAATAAATAACCTGAGACTGTAAAACAGCTGGTTCATCATCACAGATTCTTTCTTTCGCTTCATCTGAAGTTCAGCACTCTGGAAAGGCATAGATCCACCTGACAGAGAGCAGCGATCAGGACTGAACTGGCTTCAGGTCCCTTTCTTCGAGCTGTGTCGATCACGTCTCGGGCTTTTTCTGCTCTGACTTTTGTTCTGACTGACTGGATTTCTTCATCGTTTATAACATGATGCTCAAGGAGTTTATCCAGAAGCTGGTTCAGAACAGGTTCAGAGACTCTGTTCAGAAACTCTGTCCGAACTAAGAGCAGTCTCTTCTCTGCTGGGACCCTGTCCCCTGCCGGGATCCTGTCCCCTGCCGGGATCCTGTCCCCTGCCGGGACCCTCTCTTCTGCTGGGATCCTGTCCCCTGCTGGGACCCTCTCTTCTGCTGGGACCCTGTCCCCTGTTGGGACCCTGTCCTCTGCTGGCACCCTCTCTTCTGCTGGGATCCTGTCCCCTGCTGAGACTCTGTCCCCTGCCGGGACCCTGTCCCCTGCCGGGACCCTGTCCCCTGCTGGGACCCTCTCTTCTCCTGGGACCCTGTCCCCTGCTGGGACCCTGTCCTCTGCTGGGACCCTCTCCTCTGCCGGGACCCTCTCCTCTGCTGGGACCCTGTCCTCTCCCGGGACCCTGCTCTGTGGAGTTTCTCTTCTTGAATCTTGAAGATAAACAGGAAAAATACTTTTGTTTAATCACCATCATCTTTAAACACAGATCTTTTGGAAATCCCATTTTAAAGTTCAATTGAAATAAAATTTCTGCTCTGTAAATCACTTCCTGTGGTCTCCTTTCAGAAAAAATAATCCATGTGCGGATGCAGCGGCCGAAACCGGAAAAGGAAGTGTGGGAGAACCGGGGCTAAGCTAACTAAGCTAACTCAGCTTGGACATAAGGCTAATGACCATCCATCATCAACCGCTTATTAAAAAAGTGACATCATACATTAGCAACTTTGCTGATGTGGCCTGGATGAACCGTGAGGTGAGGTCTCTATCCAGAGCCAAGTGCTTTTCAGTCAGGTGACAACAAGAAAGTGCTGTTCAAGCTGCCATCAAGGAAGAAAAGCTCATTTATGGAGTTGTTTGGGCTAACTGGGTGTGTGAGAGATTCAGATATTGAAGAAATAAGTATTTGCATTTCGTTGAATATGTTTATCAGTGTAGAAATACAACAGTAGTTACTTTGATAGATTTTATTGTTGATGCAGTGAAAGTTAATTGTTTCTGTTTAGAATATTCAAACACCTAGACACAAAGTGTCCATAGCAACCATCCTGTACATATATGTCCCCACTCAGGTTGGTTTTCTAAATAAAGTCAACGACTGTCCAAACACCAAAATCCAGCTGATTCGGCATAAACAAGTTGACAGTAAAAACAAGGAGCTCTGTAAAGCTGGGAAGCTGCAGATTCATCCAATAATTCACTACCAGAGACACCAACACACTGTAGCTACAGTGTTTTATACGAACTGGTCCTGGAGCTCCATGGCCAATACTATCCTCCAAAACTGGTTTAAAAAGTGGACAGACTGAAGAACGATCTGAGGCAGAGTAAGAATAAAGGCACCATGGATCAATCAGTAAATGTTATCTATCCTGCTGTACTATCAGGTGGAGTGATGCTGAAAATGGATAAAGACTTCACCTGTTAGATCAACTTCACGCTTCCAGACCTCTGTCTGTCTCTGGTCTCGGACTGTTAAAGTCGCTTCTTCTGTGTTTGTCGGCAGGCGGATCTCAAATGTTGGATGGTAATTTGGTCCAAATTCCAGGTCAAAATCTGCTCTCTGAAAACCAAAGTGTCAGAACTTCCATAGCATCCAAAGTAAACCAAAGGTAACCAACAGCAGTTCGATGAATCGTATTAGAAAAGATTTTCATACTTACCGTAGGCTGAATTTTGATGGCCTGAGGACAGAGAAGAGTGTAACTTTCATCTTTGATGAGTTTGCATTTAGAAGCAGTCTTTATGTTCTTACAGGGCTGCTGTTGTTTGCTGACCTGAAGAGACAACAGAACATGTTAACATTTAAATTAGAGGGTTCATCTTCAATCCTTGTTTTTGTATAAAGAAAAATCTTCCAATGTTAGTATAAAATTCCCTCTTTATGTTTCCCTGTTCAGCTGCAGTAGATGGACAGTGAAGACAGTGAAGCTAATGCTAGCAAGCAAGAGATCGTGGCAGAGAAAAAGAGGAAGTGAGCCCACTGATTGGGAAGAGTTGTACGACGGCTTAGAAATGATATCAGCTGCTGTCACAAATTTGATCCGAGTTGTTTTTCCAAACTGAAAGACATTTTCTTAGCAACGTGAGAAAATACAGTATCTCACAAAAATGACTACACCCCTCACATTTTTGTAAATGTGATTAAATCTTCTTATGTGACAACCCTGAAGAAATGACACTTGTATAACAGTGTAAAGTAGTGAGCTTGTATAACAGTGTAAAGTAGTGAGCGTACAGCTTGTATAACAGTGTAAAGTAGTGAGCGTGCAGCTTGTATAACAGTGTAAAGTAGTGAGCGTACAGCTTGTATAACAGTGTAAAGTAGTGAGCGTGCAGCTTGTATAACAGTGTAAAGTAGTGAGCGTGCAGCTTGTATAACAGTGTAAAGTAGTGAGCGTGCAGCTTGTATAACAGTGTAAAGTAGTGAGCGTACAGATTGTATAACAGTGTAAAGTAGTGAGCGTACAGCTTGTATAACAGTGTAAAGTAGTGAGCGTTCAGCTTGTATAACAGTGTAAAGTAGTGAGCGTTCAGCTTGTATAACAGTGTAAAGTAGTGAGCGTGCAGCTTGTATAACAGTGTAAAGTAGTGAGCGTGCAGCTTGTATAACAGTGTAAAGTAGTGAGCTTGTATAACAGTGTAAAGTAGTGAGCTTGTATAACAGTGTAAAGTAGTGAGCTTGTATAACAGTGTAAAGTAGTGAGCGTGCAGCTTGTATAACAGTGTAAAGTAGTGAGCTTATATAACAGTGTAAAGTAGTGAGCGTGCAGCTTGTATAACAGTGTAAAGTAGTGAGCTTGTATAACAGTGTAAAGTAGTGAGCGTGCAGCTTGTATAACAGTGTAAAGTAGTGAGCTTGTATAACAGTGTAAAGTAGTGAGCGTACAGCTTGTATAACAGTGTAAAGTAGTGAGCGTGCAGCTTGTATAACAGTGTAAAGTAGTGAGCGTGCAGCTTGTATAACAGTGTAAAGTAGTGAGCGTGCAGCTTGTATAACAGTGTAAAGTAGTGAGCGTGCAGCTTGTATAACAGTGTAAAGTAGTGAGCGTACAGATTGTATAACAGTGTAAAGTAGTGAGTGTACAGCTTGTATAACAGTGTAAAGTAGTGAGCGTTCAGCTTGTATAACAGTGTAAAGTAGTGAGCGTGCAGCTTGTATAACAGTGTAAAGTAGTGAGCGTGCAGCTTGTATAACAGTGTAAAGTAGTGAGCGTACAGATTGTATAACAGTGTAAAGTAGTGAGCGTACAGATTGTATAACAGTGTAAAGTAGTGAGCGTGCAGCTTGTATAACAGTGTAAAGTAGTGAGCGTGCAGATTGTATAACAGTGTAAAGTAGTGAGCGTGCAGCTTGTATAACAGTGTAAAGTAGTGAGCTTGTATAACAGTGTAAAGTAGTGAGCGTGCAGCTTGTATAACAGTGTAAAGTAGTGAGCTTATATAACAGTGTAAAGTAGTGAGCGTACAGCTTGTATAACAGTGTAAAGTAGTGAGCTTGTATAACAGTGTAAAGTAGTGAGCGTGCAGCTTGTATAACAGTGTAAAGTAGTGAGCTTGTATAACAGTGTAAAGTAGTGAGCTTGTATAACAGTGTAAAGTAGTGAGCGTGCAGCTTGTATAACAGTGTAAAGTAGTGAGCTTGTATAACAGTGTAAAGTAGTGAGCTTGTATAACAGTGTAAAGTAGTGAGCGTGCAGCTTGTATAACAGTGTAAAGTAGTGAGCTTGTATAACAGTGTAAAGTAGTGAGCTTGTATAACAGTGTAAAGTAGTGAGCGTGCAGCTTGTATAACAGTGTAAAGTAGTGAGCTTATATAACAGTGTAAAGTAGTGAGCGTACAGCTTGTATAACAGTGTAAAGTAGTGAGCTTGTATAACAGTGTAAAGTAGTGAGCGTGCAGCTTGTATAACAGTGTAAAGTAGTGAGCTTGTATAACAGTGTAAAGTAGTGAGCTTGTATAACAGTGTAAAGTAGTGAGCGTGCAGCTTGTATAACAGTGTAAAGTAGTGAGCGTACAGCTTGTATAACAGTGTAAAGTAGTGAGCGTACAGCTTGTATAACAGTGTAAAGTAGTGAGTGTGCAGCTTGTATAACAGTGTAAAGTAGTGAGCTTGTATAACAGTGTAAAGTAGTGAGCGTACAGCTTGTATAACAGTGTAAAGCAGTGAGCGTACAGCTTGTATAACAGTGTAAAGTAGTGAACGTACAGCTTGTATAACAGTGTAAAGTAGTGAGCGTGCAGCTTGTATAACAGTGTAAAGTAGTGAGCGTACAGCTTGTATAACAGTGTAAAGTAGTGAGCGTACAGCTTGTATAACAGTGTAAAGTAGTGAGCGCACAGCTTGTATAACAGTGTAAAGTAGTGAGCGTGCAGCTTGTATAACAGTGTAAAGTAGTGAGCGTACAGCTTGTATAACAGTGTAAAGTAGTGAGCGTGCAGCTTGTATAACAGTGTAAAGTAGAGAGCAAAGAGTAATTTCTTCAGTGTTGTCACAAAAGATACATACAAATATTTACTAAAATGTACTCACTTTTGTGAGATACTGTGTGTTTGATTGTTTCAAGCAAGTTGACCGGGCAGAGATGCAAATATTTTCAGGAGAGGATAGCAATTCCTAAATTACAGGAATAAAATGTCTGTGACCAGAACTGCCAGGACATAAGGACAGATTCTCAACAAGAACTGTCCGGTAAGATTCTACAAGGACCTGGGAATCGGTGTACACAAAAAACAAAGAGTTTGATGCTGCAAGACAAAAACTCTGTTCCACTGGAATCCAGTACGACATGATTCCTCCTTCTCGGTTGCTGGTGACCCAAAACAGTCAGTCTCACATCCTTAACTAACCAGGTGAAGCAGAGGATTCAGAAGGGCGCTAACATCAGGGGGCCAATGTAAGATAAAACAGTCATTGTTTACAGTGTACTGATCTGAAAACAAAAAAGTTGGAGGAGCATATCAAGTCATTTGAGGGGCAATACTATCCAACAGTATGTGCATCAAAAGCTCCTGCTGCGAATAACACCAGTTTAATGAACACTGCTTCCAAAGCAGCTTCAAATCTCATGCATCTTAAGCAGAAGATCTATGATTGGGGGACAAAGCTTGGAAAAGGACGGTCCTGTCTGGTCCAGCGAAGGTGGGTTTGTGCCCATCGGTTGCCAGTGATGTCTGTAATGGACCTGCCCTACAACAACCCTACAAGCCCTCAGTCCAGCCTCTCTCAGCCTATAGCGGACAGTCTGAGCCCTGATTGTGCCTGTCCCACAGTGGTGATATTCTGTTGTACCAATCCTCCTAAATGTGGATTAAAAGATTTAGGTGAAGTTTTATATTAACTAAACAAAAAGCTTTGGAATGAGGACTGTGGATTTTGTATCACATACATTGAGAGTACTGGCGATGGTACAGCACATGCCTTTAGTGTGAGAGACCCGGGTCTCACCAAGGCACCAAAGGCATCCCACGGCAACTACTGACACCAAGGTATCCCTGAGCAAGACACTTAACCCCTAGTTGCTCCAGAGGCGTGTGACCTCTGACATAGCAATTGTAAGTCTCTTTGGATAAAAACGTCGGCTAAATGTAAAAAAGACATTAGTCCAGTATGAAAAGGAGGAATAGTTACAGGAAGAAAAGGCTGTTCAGTGTTCATATTGACACCTTCTGTTGTTTTAAGACAAAACTGTGAACTTTTGCTTTAAGCCACATCAGAGAAATTTGGTCTGAAAGCTGTAACATGAAGCTTTACCTCCTCCAGATGGATGTTGTTCGGCAGCAGAAGCACATTTAGGATCTGCCTCTGTGTTCTTGGGTTCGGTGGTCCGAGGAACAGCAGAACTTGGCCGCAAACTGGTTTGCTCCACAACCTCTTAACATAAGTCCAGACCAGGCCAAATAGAGAGAGGTGAGGGACTTTGACAACCACATGAGTGTCTGTAATCTCCAGCGGCTCGAGGATGCTCATTCCATCATCAGTGATGTGGACGACAGACAGCAGACCGTCAGGCAGCAGAGCTGTGAAAACACAGAGCTGGTAAACTTCTGGTTTACTGATAACAACCTCAGCACCATGTTAGTCCTAATCTTACTATATTTCCAGGAAGTCTGGTCATTAAAGAGTAAAACTGTTTCCCAGGTTGAGCAATTTATTAAACACAACTGTCAGTGTGCTCCTGCCTAGAGGGGATAAATTGTTGTGCCTGGGGGGCTGCTGGGGCAATTTAAAGACAAATGGGTAGCATGCAACAAAAGAAAAATAGAATCAGATGATAAATCCTGAGTTTGGTAAGCTTGTAAACTTTCCTCTTGCACCAATAATTTGCTCAGCTTCAAAAGTAACTTTACAGATTTTTTTTAATAGATTTTAGGGGTATTTTCACCTTTTTTGAAGAGTCAGACAGGAAACGAGTACAGAGATGTGGAGCTGAAACCATTCAGCTGCCAGGATCTATTGTCATGTGAAGAACTCTGAGCATCTATTTTATTTTTAAACACTTTGAGCTTCATTGCTTATATGAAAGTATCTCATCGTTAATCAATCATCATAATTGTTGCAAATTAATTTTCTGTTGGTGGAGTAATCAAGTAATTTTTTCAGCTCTGTACAGTCAGAATAACATTGTGCACAACTGTCCAACATGCCCTGAAATGTTCTGTGGTCATTCCTGGTTCCAGAGGATCGTTCTGCCTTTCCTCTAGTTTCACCATCAGGGAAAACATTGAGCATACAAGATATTAAATAACGGTCCTATTTCCTTAAGGACAAACTCTCCCCTCACTAATCACAATAAAGTCCTCACCGTCCTTTGTTTCACAGTGCGGCAGGTGGAGCTGACAGACAGCATCCTCAGGACACTTGATACTGAACAGCAGCCCTGCCGCCGTCTTGCCAGCTGATTGGAGGAGGCTCTCATCCCATTGGACAGTCCGGTACAGCAGCTCCGCCTCCTGAGTCATACCAAACATCAGTCCAGTCAAAGTACACTGGAACACACCTGGACCAGGACACCTGAACCTGCAGGACAGAGAGGGGAATGTCATTGCAGAAGACATATCCGTCCCTGGCGAGGGGCTGCTTGTGTCCTATCTTTTTAGACGACTTGAGTGCCAAAGTGGTTTTAATGTACAGTTTGATAATGCAGTCAACTCTAAAGCTGCTCAGTTGCTAAATGTGTTGAGCTCCATGGATTTTATTCAACATGTTAATGGGCCGACTCACAACCACGGTCATATATTGGTTCTATTACACTTATTGCAAATTTAAATACACTACTTTCCCCCCTCTGAATTATTATAATCTTGCTCTGTTTCTGAGCAGGTTGTTAGGAAACATTAACTCTGAAGTTGATGAAAATGTCATAAATCACATTAATAGCGATGATTTAGTCAACAATTTTAAGTTAGGACTATCCGTGAAGCTATAGCAACAGACAAACATGAAAAGATTCAATCTAAACAGAAACCAGCATGGGGTACTGGGGATAATTATTTAAAGAAAACATTTAGACAAGCTCACATTTTTAAAGAATTGCCTCACTATCTTCAACAATGCAATTAGAAATGTAAAACAAGCTCATTTCTCAAGGCTGATTCTAATAATGCCAGGATGTTTTTTCTCAATTACTGACAGCCTAATTAACCAAGCTCCAAAAAGCCACAATTTTTATCACCATCAAAATGTGAAGAATTTGAAATTTTATTTTCGATAAAATAATAAAAATCAGATTGGATCTAAACCATTTTATTCAGAATGTGTGAGCCCGTGTCTCTGGACGCTTTCCCTCTTAGACTGCAATGAATGATATTGATGCTGTTGATAAAGAAATGCTCAGGAACAAAGTAATCTAACTAAAACCATCCACCTGCTCACCTGACCCTATCCCCACCACCTTTTATAAGTTTAGTCCTGGCACTAAAAACTACTATGGTGAAAGCTCTTCTAAAGCTTTCAGAACGTCAAAGAGATTGTCCTACAGAGCCTCCAGGGGTTTCTGAAGCTGTTCGACCATCAGACCAGCAGTTCTGATAAAGTATACTGGGGCTGTATCAGCTAAACTCTAATGTAAGTGCTGAAAGGAGAATTCTGCATTTTATTATTTGGTTACCTGTATGAAGTCTTTCCAGAGTCAGTCAGCAGGTCAGGTGTGAAACTTAACTTCTCCTAAAATTGAAAAACAGTACAAAATTAGTTACAGAACACGTTGAGATGGGAGCAGAAACTGGACGCCCAACTCTCAGAGTTATGTTCAGGTGACAGGAACTCTGCATCATACAGAACTAAAAGCCAATTAAAACATTACATCATAAAAAAAAGAAATGTTTGGCACTTTGTGGTTAATGGTCACATGACTGGTTATGATTCAGCAATCACTTGTGATTTAAAACTAGAGAGTAGAGCAGTGCCTGATGGGTACTGTGTTTCAGCTCTAACAGATCCAGCAGACCTGTGCTGTACTACACAGAACTGGGAGATGCTTGCCTGATGTTATCTGAGCACAGTGAAGCTCTGACTGAGTGAAACGGTCAGAGACGTCACTTGATTATCTGTTGTTGTTACTATTATAGCAGTTATCATTATTATTCAGGGGACGATCCTGCACAAGTGAAGCCTGCAGAGCTCTGTGGGACAGCAGCTGGAGGTTTGATAGACGAGGAGGTGGAAATTAATTTAGGGAGTTTCTGATAGGAGAGCGAGAGGAGTTTAGAGGGTAAGAAATATTAAACTCTGGAGGCGCTAAAACTAAGGAACCCCAGACAAATAAAAATGTTCAAGTGAAAAAGTGACCTTTGTATTCAGAGCCTCTCCACACAGAAGCTGCTGCTGCTTCAACCTCTCTGGATCATCAGGACACAGCTGATCCTCTCTGGCGTCCTCAGACGGATCTGGTGGTGATCAGAGACATCGGATGGAGAGAAGCAGAAGCAGACGTCAAACTCACTTTTGGACGTCCTGGTGACCCAACATTCAAAAACCTGTAACCACTGTAACCAGTTCAAGGCTGGCCAGGGCCCTTTGGAGCAGGTCGTTACCCCATGTTGTGTCCCTGTCTTTCTCCCAGGGCCAACATGTAGACGACCAAGCACAGTCATGTTTAAAAGTCCAAAGATACCAAGTTAAGCCTGAGTCCATACAATCAAATGTACACAAGAATAACAGGGACATCATGTTTCCCAACATGCAGAGCAGAACAAAGCCAAAGATCTGTGGTTACTGGCATTAACCAGAGCCATGAAACATGCAGAGGTCAATTTTCCAGTTGGCTTTAAACAGCTTATGTTTCTTTAAGATGATCCTGTGGGCTTTTACTCACGTCCTTCATGTCTGTCAGGTGTGGCCTTGTTTTCTCTGCCATCCACCCTGTGGAAACACAAATACAGCAGTTATCTTTTATGAAGACAGTGAAAATGAATCTGCCATCTAAATCTAAACACAGAGTACAGCTGAGGCTGACTGGAATGTCTTCAGTTCTGCAGGTATTTGGTCATAAACCAAAGTGGTGGTCTCATTTTCATGTTGACTAGGGGTCACAGATATTCAGCATTACTCCAATAATCTGCATCAGTCATTTTAAAAACAGATAGCCGATATAATTCATTAATAAAAAATTGCTTTGGCTGTGATGCCGCCGCCTCTCTCGGCCTGCTCGAGCCCACAGAGTGGTGAGTACAATGTCCCACCCACAGTACTAGCTGATTGGTTACAAGTCACCAGTAATAGCCTAAAAACACTGAATATAGTGCGGAAGTAGCCAATAGAACGAGCCAGCCACCACGCTGCAGCGTCTCCCCTCCTCTCTCAACAGAGCTCCGCATGCTCACACCGAGTGGAGCGAAATGAGCGGAGGCAGATCAGTGTAGCTTACACAAGTTGACCATAACTACGGCCCTTACTGTAAGTAAGTGCAGCAAAAACAGCAGTACCAGTAAAAGGCTGATACTGTATCAGTACAACAAGCAGCTGTGTTTTGGTTTAACACAAGCACATGCGCTAGCTCGGCTAATAGCTAGTTTGTCATAAACAAACTACAACAACCTCTCGGTCTGTAGCCTGTTTAGCTGAGATGCTATGTACCTTAAGATTTAGCAAATCCTTGTAAACTCAGTGCTTGTTGAGAAAAACCAGCTCCTTTCTACAGCGGCAGAGGGAGGAGGAGGAGGAGGACTGTCCCGGACTGCTGTCTTCTTTTTAAACTTCACTCAGTATTTTGATGACAGGAATATAGTTTATTTAACATGTTCCATTTGTTTCCATTGAGATCCTGATTCAATAAAGTGACTTTGCTGCGGTAAACTTTATTTTTGGTTGCTGCTCTGAAAACAGTTAGTTATAATAAAATATTAAATTTGATTACTGTTCTGAATTTATTCTTTTTTTAAATAACAAAGGCAATTATTTAGTCATGAAAAACCAATAAGAGTACATCTAAAGAACAGAACCAATAAATAGTATCAAAATGTATCAATAAAATCCTAACAATATAAAATAAATACAATATAAATCACAGCAGGTAAAAACACAGTTTATGATAATTTATCACTCATAGTTAACAAGTCTATCTCTGGGATGAATCTCTAATTTACTATTTATAAAGATTAAACACAACAATTAACTTTAATCCTGTTATTTTAAAAAAGGTTTTGTGTTGGCGTTTGTGTTATTCTAAATTTTGACACCAAGATTAAAATTTTTAAAGCAAATGTATATTGGTTGCACATATCAGTCATTGCTCTAACTGGTTACTAATAATCGGATAGGTCCTGAAAAAAACTATATCAGGCGATCCCTAATGTTGACCAGATGATGGAGCTAGATGAAAACTTTATCCTGAGGGGAACATAAAGGTCTGAAACACATTTTAAAACAATCCATCCAACAGCTGCTGAGATATTTAATTCTGGAAGTGGTGGGCAGTCAGACAGACATACACATCGCTAGAAACTGCACTGAATAATTACTTTGCAATAACAAAAAAACAGACAACAAATGGGCTCATCAGCATGGACTGACTTCAATTCGCCACAAACCTCAGAGTCTCCAGTCTATGGTGTACACTCTCCAGTCCAGCAGACAGCAGCTTCACTCCTGAATCCTGCAGGTTGTTGTTACTCAACTTCAGCTCTCTCAGATGGGAGGGGTTGGACTTCAGAGCTGAGGCCAGAGAAGCACAGCCAATCTCTGATAGCTCACACCTTTGAAGCCTGCACAGGATACATATTACAAAAAAAGATGTATATTGTCATCTGTGTGTGAGAAATAATTTTAAGCCTCTGTTATTTAAAGAGAACTGACCTCAGAGTCTCCAGTCTACAGTGTGGACTCTCCAGAAAATCACACAGCATCTTCACTCCTGAATCCTCCAGCTTATTTTTACTCAGGTCCAGCTCTCTCAGATGAGAGGGGTTGGATTTCAAAGCTGAAGCCAGAGAAGCACAGCTGATCTCTGACAAATGACAGCGCCTCAGTCTGGATAAATCAGAATCAGAAAATGTTATTGTCATTACATCAACAGTACAACGAGATTTGCCGTTGTTGAGCCTTTTTTTAAAATCAGTTCATTGCTGTTGATTGGGCATTTGAGGTCCTCTGAAATGTAGGTCCCAAAGAACTTAAAGCAGGAGAACCTCTCTACTTCTTCCCCTTTGATAGTCAGTGGAGGGAGGTCATACTTGTCTCACTGGAAGTCGATGATTTCTTTTGTATTTTGTGTTTTAATTCAGAGGTGGGTTATTGTCCGTGCACCATCCCGTCAGTTTGCAGACTTCACCTCTGTAAACTGTTGCATCACTGTTTGTGATCAGGCCCACTACAGTCAAATCATCTGCAAATGTTATGATGGTGTTTGAATGGTGTGTGGGAATGCTGTCAAATGTGTAAAGGGTGTAGAGCAGAGGACTCTACACACAGGGTGCTCCAGTACTGAGGGACAAACTGGAGTAGAGGTGAGAGCCAAGTGTAAATGTCTGTTGGCAAACAGCAAACTACTGAGACCCAGGTCAAGGTGTTTGGATACCAGCCTACTGGGGAGTGTTAAATGCAGGACTGAAGTCAATAAAAATCATTCTCACACATGTCCCTTATGAGAGTGTGTCAGTAATGTGTGGAGGGCTGTAGCATACCATCTTCTGTGGACCTATATGGTCTGTATGCATACTGGTGGGAAGGTTAGCTATTATGTGTTTTAAGAACAGTCTCTCAAAACATTTAGTAATAATAGACCCCTGTATAATGTAAACATCATCCAGTGTGTAATGAGGCAGAAAGTATTTGTTTCTGTGAAGCTGGAAGTTATTTATTCCTGTGTTTTGGACAACAGGACTTGTGTGATGTCATACTGTGTTGTAATAACCACATGTTCAGTCTCCTTGCTGTATTTTTCAGAATCATTATGGCTTGCGTTTAACAGGCTTAGTTCCTGATACATGTAAAATGTATATATTAAAGGCTCGTTGTTGTGTATTTTTTATTTCTCTGTAATGTGGCACAGTGTTACAGTGTTCCTGATAATATTCTTTCTCAGGCTGGGACTCAAACCAATTTCTGAAGCCTGACAAATATAGATTTAAATATTTAAATTAAAATCACCTGGTGGCATGATCTAATGACTACTTGTTGATTGGGAAGTCCCTAGTCAGAGGCAGCCCTAGCAGAGAGATGGATTTTGAAAAATCACTACTAACATTCAAATGAAATATGAATTTTGTACCTCAGAGTCTCCAGTCTACATTGTGGACTCTCTATAAAATCACACTGCTGCTTCACTCCTGAATCCTGCAGCTTGTTGTCACTCAGGTCCAGCTTTCTCAAATGGGAGGGGTTGGACTTTAGAGCTGAGGCCAGAAAAGCAGAGCCGCACCCTGTTATTTCACAGTTACAAAGTCTGTAATGACAAGATAAATATCACATCAGACATTTTTAGAAAAAACATGCTGCTCACATAAAAACACAAAAGATACAATCTAAAGTGAAACACAAAGTGAACAAACCTCAGAGTCTCCAGTCTACAGTGTGGACTCTCCAGTCCGTCAGACAGCAGCTTCACTCCTGAATTCCCCAGATAATTGTTGCTCAGGTCAAGCTCTCTTAAGTGGGAGGGGTTGGACTTTAAAGCCGAAGCCACAATGTTACAATGCATGGATGAGAGTTCACAGCCAGAAAGTCTATGAATACAGATATCATGTAAACATCAGTTATTTTCAAAACAGAACAGAGGCAGATTTAAGAAAGTTAATTGCATAATATTCTTGTAAACAGAGCCTGCTTACTAATTCATCTGCACCTACTGATTGGTCTTTCTGACATGTAGTAAGATTTAAATGTCCATTTATTGGAGACAGACCATTTACATTTATTAATTTAGCTGATGCTTTTATCCAAAGTTGCTAAGTATGTCAGAGGTTGCACGCCTCAGGAGCAACTAGGGGTTAAGTGTTTTGCTCAGGGACACATTGAGTCTCTCACAGTGGACTCCAACCCAAGTCTCTCACACCAAAGGCATGTGTCTTATCCACTGCCCCATCACCACCCCATAAGACCAAAGACTATTGAATCACCACACTGTGCCATCTCTTGTTACCAGGGATAATTTCTAAGCAACAGACAAAAATAGAAACTTCAATCAGTTTGCAGGCAGACTTTTGCTTCAGTATATCCCTCTCATATATGCAATTGTTAGATTCATTAAAAGGTTGCCTGAGCCAGCCAGGTACATGCTGATTATTCATGTCATAGTTCACAAGACTGTTAAAACAGCTAAGTTAGCTGCATATTATCTGATTATCACCTGACTGCTCATGTTTCTTGGCATGTAATTCCTGTTTTTGCAATCTCGCTGCATAATGAGATCTGTGCAATTACTTTGGTGAGAATAATAACCGAGATAAGTAATTGCCAGTGGCGTAAATGAAACTAGTAATCTAAAACTGCAATCTACACATATATTTCCATGTCCATCTTTCTAGCCATCTCCTTAGCACTAGCCTCCCAGGCCATCAAGTGTGCTATGGGTCTTTATCAGATGCCCAAATGACCTCAAGCAAATTCTCTTGATGCAAAAGATGCCCACACCCTGTCGATGGAACTCGTTTAGTCCGCTTGTATCTTCATTCTTTCTACCCAAAGTTCATGGCCAAACGTAAACTAACAATTAGTAAATTGCGAGATTTGCCTCCTGGCTATTGTTTTTTTTTAAGTTGTAAAAAAAAAACAATTGTAGTTTACCTTTAAGCTTCTTCTGTTCACTCATCTTGTGTCTTTTTCAATCTAAAAATGCCTATTTTTAAAAAGCATTATTACTTTACAGCATTTTTCCACACCTAAAACGTTTGCACAGAATTGTATACTTCAACTCAGTATATGGTACTGAGTACTAACCGAGCCTTTCTGCAGTTCCTCACAGCTGGAATCAGTCTCTGTCGTCCCTCCTCTGATGTGTTGTACTTCTGCAGGTCCAACACATCCAGAACCTCCTCTGACATCTGCAGCATGTAGGCCAGAGCTGAGCAGTGGATCTCAGAGAGTTTCTTCTCTGATCTGTTCTCTGACAGGAACTCTTGGATCTCCTGATGTACTGAGTGGTCGTTCATCTCCGTCAGACAGTGGAAGATGTTGATGCTTCTGTCAGGAGAGATATCGTACATGTTCTTTTTCTTCAGGTTTTAATGACTCTGTGGATCATTTCTGGACTGTTGTCTGTCCGACCCAGCAGGCCTCCTAAGAGTCTCTGGTTGGACTCCAGAGAGAGGCCATGAAGGAAGCGAACAAACAGGTCCAGGTGGCCATTTTTACTCTCTAAGGATACATCCATGGCTTTACTCAAGAAGCCAGCCAATGATGAGTCATGGTCATTGTCCGTGTCGTCATCATTTTCTTCATCTTGTCTTCGTCGTCGTCTTCGTCGTCTTTGTCGTCTTCGTCGTCATCATCAATGAATGAATCATTAAGCTGGGATGAATCACTGTCTTCACTCTCCCAGTCTTCCCCAGGAAGTCCTCCAGTACCTCAGTGTTGCTGCTGGTGTAACAGTGGAACATGTAGACTGCAGCCAGAAACTCCTGAACGCTCAGATGAACAAAGCAGTAGACTGTTTTCTGGAAGATCACACTCTCTCTTTTGAAGATCTCTGTACAAACTCCTGAGTACACCGAGGCCTCTGTGACATCAAGACCACACTGCTCCAGGTCTTCTTGGTAGAACATGATGTTTCCTTTCTCCAGCTGTTCAAATGCCAACCTCCCCAGCTTCAGAAGAACCTCCCTGTCAGCCTTCGTCAGTTCCTGTGGACTCGTCTCATGTCCCTCATCGTACTTCTGCTTCTTCCTCTTTATCTGAACCAGCAGGAAGTGTGAGTACAGGTCAGTCAGGGTCTTGGGCAGCTCTCCTCTCTGCTCTGTAGTCAACATGTGCTCCAGAACTGTAGCAGTGATCCAGCAGAACTGGGAT